TTGTACAAGTAGCATGATCGTAAAACATATTATATTGTTTCCAAGAATATTCTACTTCCACTTCCTGTTCAAATCTCCAAACAGTTACCAATGATATCGATATGTCAACTTTTGAATAATAAAGTGCATAAAACTACTAATAACAAATAGTCGATGTCTCTAAGATCCTGTTAGGCTCCCATTTTAATTTTTTTTTTTTAAGAAAAATAATTTTTAATTATATATTTTATGAAACTCACAACTAAATAAAGGCTAATTATCATGATGGGACAGGGTGAGTTAAAGTCCTGAGAGTTAGTATAAATTCATAAATTAGGCCATGATTGATGGCGAGAAAATCATGGCGGTCCAGACCAAGATCAAAACTGAGAGAAAATTCAATGGCATCAGCATCACACTACAGCTGAAATCAAATGTTGACGTGTTATGTAGCTTCACTATTTTTCTTTTTAACCATTTTTCTCAATTTCTACACCCTTTAGACCTATACTGTTCAGGAATACAATCAAACAAACATCTTTGACATGATAAAATGTAAAAAATGATTTACATCATAATGTACACCAAGCATGATTGATGTCCACAATATTGTTGTTACGTCTATATTGATATGTAAACTTTGGAATAGTAATAGGTAAAAGTACAAATAATTGTAAACAAAATTATTTTCTATGGAAAAAAAGGGGTCATGTTTATGTGGAAAATGCTAAAGTTTATCATAGAAGTAGATCTACCTAATTCCTAAATCAAGAACTGAGAGTTAGGATTATTGGAAAAAAATAAATAAATTGAAGGGCTGGCTTCGACATGAATTTTGAGTGGGACCCGTTTGTTTATTTTGAAAGATCATTATTGATTTGTATTCTCTTCCGTGAAAATATCGAAATCAAATATTTACTTGTCAAAAATGATGTTTGGGTGAATGAAAAATTGAAGCTTAAAGTGATGAATTGGAAGAGATTTTATATTGAAGGAAAATTAGTTAAAGNCATGATTTATGTAATCTTCCCTAAAGTTATCCCACATAAGAAAATGGATAAAGGCAATGACCACTTTAAATATGATTACACTTTAGAAGGGTGTAATCATGGGTAGCAAATGGGGTGCAAATCACAGACCGAAAAAGACTTCGGACCTTAAACTTGTGTGCGGGCGTGACATACGTACATAAAAAATTGGTAATGGTGGTCAATGACACAACTCAATCTCTTGTATACATCAGTAATTTTAATTTTTCTGTCAAAGTTTTGGTGGTGATACTGTTCAGATACTAAGTTAGTTCGTCGGAGTAGCATCTGCAGTGTTTAGAATCTATTGATTTTCCATTGTATCCTAGGAAACAGACGCTCGAACTAAACCTCAAGCACCTACGGTGCGAGGCGAATTACCCAAGAAGCGCAAGGACGAAAAATCTATCCATGAGACCGACAGTAAATGGAGGAAAGACTGTTTTTCTATGAAATAAGTAGGAAAGGCACGACAGAAGAAGAGATGAAATTGCATAAGAATTCGCCAAGAATACATGGTAGTTTAAACCTTTGGATACTGCAACTTTGTAGAGTGTACTTTGCCCTACGTTTATACATTCCACCATTAACATCGCTATATAAGGAAGCACTTCCTTCAGAAAGTACATCAGCGGTGCCGCCATCTCTCTCTGAGGCTCAACAACTCTGTTTTCAGAGAGAAAATGAAAAACAGTTTGAAGTTAATGATTGAGTCGTGACTACCATGGCTATTCTTAATTTAAAAATAATCTTGATTTGCATAATTGAGGTCAAAGGTTTAAACGGATTAGAAACATTGCACGACAAGGCATCTTGGAAAATATCCTGCTGAGTGCATGTTTTGGCTTATGTTAAAAAAAAGATAATAATAATAATAAATGAATAAAAATTATATATTAACAAGTTTATTCTAGGTAATAAGTAAGCTTAAACTAAGCCTCTATTTGGTCTGGATTAAAATTTAATTTTAATCAAAATCAAAATCAAACAATCAATATTAACCACATCTTTCGTGAGTCCAACAACTTTTTAACCACTCATTTCAAAAACTTCTATCACAATCCACTAAAAATCTAGTTTTAATCTCCACCAAACACCCTCTAAATAACATTTTTTGTATTATTTCAGACTTCAGGAAAAAATGTCAAATGCAATGCTTGTTGCATAATTCTCTCACCTGTGTTATAAATTGGCAGTGGAGAATTATTTGATGAATTATTCCAACATCCCTCAATGGAAAGAAGAATCTGAAAGCAATTGAGTGCCATAAGCTTGAATTTTTAAAGCTAAATGCGTTTGCGTGCAGATTTAGTTAAGCTAGAATTAAGCATGTTTGAAAACAATCGACCATATTTAATGGTCAGACCAAACGGGAAAGAAAAGCATAACAATTATCTTTTTGACAGTAACTTGACACTTCGCTATCAAGAAAATTAAACCATGTTTGGTTTGCGTTTCAGTTTTTTATTTTTTGACAGTAAGTAAACACTTTCAGAGTGAATAAATTGTCCAAAATAAAAACTGTGGTGTCAAAATAATTACCAACCATCATATGGCAGCTAAAATAAACTAAAAATGCATTAAATAAAATAAACGCATTTACAGAAATTCAGCATATTATATTTTTCCTTTTTATCCATGCAATGAAAAACCTTCAAAAATGCTGCTGAAAACTAATGTATCAATTGCTGTAAGAGATGAACTACAGCTGCCAACTTCTCTGGAAAATTTACAATTTCAAAATTTCCTCCTTTTTCTTCTCAAATTTGGCATTGCTCGAAGAGATCTTGAGGGACCATTCCTAGTCTCGTCCTCCTCAGTATCATTGAGCAAAGTCGATACCTTGGAACAGTCACTTCGTATTGCATGATTCATATTCGGCTCAGTATTAGTAGCACCAGTACTCCTTCCACACTCGACTCCATCTGATGTTCTTGTTGGGGTAGAAATTGACTCATCAAGTTGATGATTTTCTTGCGCATCATCTAACATATCAAAGGGATCAGAGTTCACAGTGATTGTTGCTCTCATAGGGCTCGATGCAGGCTCAACGCCCTCCATTTCTTCACCTTCCTCGTCTAAACAAAATCCACCACCAAATTTCAGATATTCATTTGACGATTGTGTCTTGATGGAAGGAACATCATTTTGACGCACATTTATTTTATCCATACTATTTCCATGCTCCATCTCATCCACACAAAATCCACCTCCCACTTCAAGGTCTCCAACTTCATTCGCGTTGCTCTTGGTCGGAACAATATCTGCTTGATCAACAAATGACTCTTTGGCTATTGAATCTTCATCACATTTTTCACCCTCTTGACCTTCTATGTCAGGATCATGAAATTCATCAGAAACAGTGTAACTGACTACCTTCCGAGGGCGTTCTGACTGAAAAATACATAAGAGCATTGGAAATGATTAAAGGAACAAGTACAAAAATATTTAAAAACGCAGCATGAGTTAAAGGGTGTAATTTCTATGGATTATTTCCATTCCTTATTTTCCGTCTGTCCTTTTTTTTTTTTTTGGTTCCTTTTCTGGGGGTTTTGGCCCCACCACATATCGGTTTCCACAAGGTAACAATGACAAGCACCAAGGTTATCCTGACAACTCCACGCTTCTTGTTATGTAATCAAGAAACTGAATACAAGATCAGAAGAGTTTCAATTCAAATTCCAATTTGATTTCCCAATCAAGTCTTACTATGCTATATGCACATATCTTATAGAGATGCTGATGTACGGAAGTGAACTTACCCTACGAACTTGATGGGACTCTTCTGATTTCTCGAACTGCAATTCTTGCTCCTTCTCACCAACATTTTGATCATCAGAGCTAGTTTCAATATCTCCAGAACAAGAATTCTTTTTCCTCCTCCCTCTCCCGTTTTGTCGTCCTCGTCCATTTGATTCTTTAATAGTCCTACTCTTTTCCTTTGTTTGTCTTCCTTTTGACTGCTTACCAGTTATTTTCTCTATGCTGTCGATCTGATTCCCAATATCAACTTTCTCTAGTCCAGTCGAACCTTCTCCTGATACGTTTGCCTCTTCATCAGTGGCGTTCACTTTTCTTTTCTTTCCACTTCTAGATTTTTGATGCATTGTGTCATCCATCAACCCCAAAGATTTATTCCCCGCTATTCCTTGGACAGCTTTTTTTATCCTCCTACTTCGAATCTTAGCAAATCTTTCATTGAATGTGTAAAATGCTTCCAAGCGCAGTTGTGTCTACATCAAACCACATATGAAAAAAGATAAAAGTTTATGTCGGTGATAGCTCTTTAAGTCAAAATAAAGAAGAGCTATCGCCTCAGGTTAAAGTGTAATTCAGAAGAAGATCGTATTCAACTCTCAGTCAAGCTGCTCTTTTCTTCAAATGTTCGAAAAGAATATCCTTGACATCCTGACTATTTCCAACATTAGCCATAAATTAAAATAAATAGAACCCAACTTCAATGGAGGATCGCAAGATTAGTGCTTGCTGGGCTAAGCTTTTAAGCACTTATAAGCAATGGGTCCCAAAGTTAAAAAGTAGATAAGCGTTGTGGGTCATAAGGAATGTGTGGTTAAAAATCATGTTTGACTAGCTTATAAGAGCTTAAAACCTAGCCAAACAAAAATTTCAGATGATTAATGAGCTGAAATCCACCAAGTCCTCATGAGCAAGAGGTAGAATGAAGAAATAAAAATGCAAGGGTTAAATTCCAGGGTAGCAGTAGCACTGTCCTCTCACTCCATGTAAATGTACACATCTATTCTAGAGGAAGAAAAAACAAGCAATGAAATGAACTGGGAACATGGCAGGTATTGTATCTCGATATAGTTGTTCCCAAATGCCTGCAATTTGTACCTCTCTTCGTATCTTTTTTAAGAGGAGGCAGAGTAAAAAAGAGGAGAAAACTACCTCATGCTTGTTATACTCCTTTAGAACTGGGAACAGCAACTCATCTGCTTTTGAAGCTCCCCAACCAAATTTCTCCAAACATAATCTACATGCAAACATATCTTGTCATGTTCTATTGGAGACTGAGAAATGCAGGTAATTTAATTTGCCTTTAAATGAACAGATATTCTGGAAACAGGCAATTGACGATACCCAATGTGGCTGACCCACCTTACATGAACAAAATGCTATGCACAGCCCTTGCTACCACTTAAAAACAGCATCCAACCATAAGTCATGAGAAAGCCCGTGTGTTTTTAAGTTTTTTAAAGGTATCCAACCCTGAGGTAGAAACTATTTATTTAACTCTCATATACATGGAAAGGAACACTTCAGAGGCAGAGTTCAGAATACCAATACCAACTAGTTCTCTCTTGCAGAGCAATATCATTCTATGATGTTTTTGTTAAGAAATTTGAGCTCTAGACAATAAGATGCTGTATTGCTATTGTAATTATAAAGGATCGCTAATAGGAGCAAACGTTGTAGTAGGTGCAATTTCTGTGGCCAAATCAGCATGTGGAATATATGCAAAATGAAATGTTTTCATTTATATACATGTAAATTTACTATATAATTAAGCTATATTAGAGCCAAAACATGAGAACGCTTCAATGCTGACCAGAGCCACTTAAAACCTTACCAAGGAAACCAATCTCAACAAACTTACTTGCGAAGAACAAACAGATCTGGCTTTCCCCATGAGAAAGGCTCTGTTGACTTGTCTACTTGCGGAGAAGTGTATGCTGAAATAACAGTATCACTTGGGAAGGAAGAAGGAATATGCCAGTTTTTGCTCACATTTCTCTACAGAAAGAGAGGTTGATGATTTCCAACATGACAAAAAAATTGGAAATCATGCCAGCATAATGAAGTAGCATCTTGTATAGAAAATAAGGAGAAAAGGTGTTACATGCTTATCCATGAAAATCTGCTTTATCTTTCGAGTATCGTCCACAGATTGTGGACCATTTTGATCAGAAGTAGAAATCCCTTCTGCATTACTGCTTGAGTCACCATCTTTAGACCCTCTATTGTTTAAATGACTCCCTTCTTTCACATCAAATTTTCCTAGAATGGTTGGATCAGGTGATTCAATCCACTCCCGAAATTCATGAAGGCCGTCTTTCTCCGGAAATGCATTTACAACCTCAATTGCATTAACAATGCCAATGCCACTGTACCATTCAAAGAATCACGCATTAAGGGTTCTCACATCAAATACTGATGAAAAGGTCTCAAGAACAGAAGTAAAATGTATTCAAGGGGGACATGGAGACGCACTGATTGATATTTACCTCACACCTTCAGTGTAATCACTCCCAAGAAGCAGGGCCATATGAATTAGTTTTTCTCTATCCAAACCAAGCTCATTCTCAATGTCCTGCAAAACAACATGAATAGCATCAAGCCCATAAATAATAAAAGAAAGAAAAGATCAATATTACTTAAAAGAAATGACTAGAGCTCCTTTCATATTTTATTTAAAGTAAAACATGCTACAAAAACTAGAGGGAAAACTAAAAAAAAAAATATCATTCTCATTTCAATAAATTTCCATTGATCAACTATAAATTCATTATAAGCTGGATTCAAACAATTACGTATAAGACTTTACTACAACTGGAACCTTAGTATAGAGTAGCTCAGCAGTCAAGTACATTCGATACCTTCATAAAATATGTTTCCACGTATTTACGATCATCAAAGATGTTTTTGTACACACTTCTTGCTCCAAATAGCAACACATCAGAGTCATCAGTAACCACGCCATCAACGAGGTTGGCAAGTTCCATGTATGCACATTGAGCTTCAGCTTCCATTGGAGCAATAATATATGGTAAACCAAACATCTGAAGCAACTCCTAAAATTAATAAAAGAATGACATTGTTAATCACCTGTTCCCATAGTTCACACCAGATGAACATATATAGCAAAAATAGGATTATGAAAACTGGGAATAAAATTGCCTCAAAAGAATAGATAACACAAGAGAGGATAGCATCTATTGTGTGTGTGTGTGAGTGAGAGAGAGAGAGAGAGAGAGAGAGAGAGAGACAGACAGACAGACAGACAGAGAGTAATGAAATTACTAAAAAGATAATCAAACCACCAAAAAAAAAAACATTCAGGGAAGTACATTAGTAGGTATCCTTAGATCTCAAGTGACATGCCCCAACTATCTTAATGTGCCAAGTAGACCATGAAACCAAGGAACCACGTCTGACACAAAAATCAGTTATGATAACCAAAAGTGATAAAGATTTTGCACACATCTCCGCCCACCATGCAACCCATCCATAGTTACATGGAAACCTCAAGGCCATACGTATTTTCGGTCCCGGCTCCCAAATCCTTGCTTCTCTCTTGTTTTTCAATTCTTTGAATTCACAACCAGACCAATGTTCCAGAGACAAATATTATCTCGACGTGTAGATATAAGATTCAGCACTCTTAACAAAAAAGATTAAACTGATAAACCCAAGAGAAAGTGGGCTAGTGATGAAGTAAGGAAGTTGAAAACCGCATATAAAACCTCAAAACCATGTTGTGACCATAATACTCCCAGAGATAATAAGTTACAGGGAGAGAAGCATACGAGTTCGTGCATTTGCCTGATTACCACAATATATTTTAGTTTTGTGAATGCGACGGTTGGACAAAAAGACAAGTAATTACCAATAACATCCACAAGTGATGATATGCACAAAAATGATTCATACACTAGACCTTGTTGATAATGGGCACAATCACAAGTAATGTTCTATTTTCCTGAATACATGACCCAAAATATAACTGTAGGTTTGGTGGAATAATAAAGACCGCTTAACCAGTAATGCTGATTAATAAAGAAACTATGACATGCACAAAAATCCATGATTAATTCCATAATTATAAAGATAAGTAAATTTTATAGTTGAAACCAAACTTTCCTAGTTGCAAGGAGACCAAGAACAAAAGAAAACAACACTTCTTAGACTCTAACCAACCCTAGAAAAGGAACGTGTAACTCACAGGTCTGTCACAAAAACCAGAGCGAATTATGATACACACACATAAAAACTTCGGGACAAAAAGCAGATCTTCATTGTGGCACTATTTTCACAACCTTCTATGTTAATCAACTACTTCATAATCTTAAGAGAGATATTCCCTTAGATTTTCTAGAACAAACTCTCAGATCCAACTAAAAGGCCAGTCCCCTTCCTTTCACCCATTAGTGTCATAGCCAAAATTCAATCAAAAATGTAGTACCTGGCTTTTGGAAACATACCTGGCATTCAGCAAACATTTCACTGCTCACAGATTCTGCATTTCTCTCAAGCTTCCGTTGCTCACTTCCTAGTTCTTCACGCTCCTTACCTAAGAACATCAGTTCATCCTCCAAGCGTGCCTTTGTAACTTCATGCTCCTCCTCATCCTTATCCGTAAACGCAAAATTAATTTTAGGTTCTTCCTTTTCCACTGAAAAGTCACCATAGACCAAATTTTGTGCAGCATCTCCGTCAGTTGTTGAATCCTTAGCAGAATCCCTTACATGATCTGCTGAATCACAATTTTCATCCAACGTTGTTTGAAACACACCATGTTGAGCATCAGGAAAACAAAATTCAGGCAATTTATTAGGCAGTAGATTCTCAAAGGATGAAGTAACAGCAGCGCTACTACTATTACGACTACTATGTGCAACACCTCCGCTACAGATATCCACTAGCTCATTCACCATTTGTTTCTCAGCACCTTTGTTACAAGTAGTTAACTGTTTTTCATTCTTGCACATCTTCTCTTCAAGTGAAGCGTCTGATTCCACCGGTATTTCTCCAGGCAAAGCTTCACTTCCACCTGTACCTTGAGTAAAAAAGTTTGTCTCTAGGTTGCTTTCACCAGGGTCGACTTCCATGTACATAATGGACTTGGCCTTTGAGGAATTGGAGGTATTCATTATAACTGGTGATCCAGGAGGCTGTAGGATACCATCTGAGGGAGCTTCCACCTCTGGCTTGTCCTTATCTTCATGAACAGGTTCACAATCAATGTCCTCGCCTACCATTTGTCTGGCTCTTCTATATTCCTGATCTTCACAAGGTTCATTAATAATTCTGGAATCCACCATATCATCAAGACTTCGCCTGATTGCTTCCTGAAATTCAGCTTCTTCTTCCAAAGAACCTTTGGTGAAAGTTTTCTGACTTTTATCTAGACATGATGAAGCCTTCTCTAGAATATCTACAGGTCCTTCCTCCCACTCCACTTCGTCCTCATCGCCCATACCATCTTCCATCTGTGATGGCTCATTTACCACTTTAATGTCATTGCTAAGAACATTACCTCTACCTTCGTTTACTCCTACATCTATCCGACAATCTGAGGTAGAATACAAAGATTGTTCAACTGAGAAAGAATTGTCTATGGAGAAACCCATTACCGGGTCTCCACCCACCAGACGAGTAAATAAATCACCATCGTCATCACCACATCCATGTTCCCCAATATCCTCAAAAGAAATCTCAATAGAAGCTCCACTTTTCACTGCAGGTTCACCAGTTTCATCATTCATTGCATCACTGTTCTTATCAGCACCTTTTTGAAGTTGGGTTCTGTTAGACGAGTCACCTAGGACATCAACCAAATTTCTACCTATGGCAGTTTCAGTGTGCTCTTGATTTGCATCTACTTTCTCCTGCTCTATCTCCTTCATCAAATCCAAATTCCTTTGCAAATCTCGAGTCATGCGAATTCCCAGTGCTCTCACTCTACTGACTCGAAGTCGACCTCTCTCATCCAAATATGTTTCTACATCATCATGAAATGCCTCTGCAGTTTCATCCACAGTTGATCCAGTAGTAGCAGTAGATGTTTTGGTTGCAGTAATCTCACTGACGGCATTTGCAGAAGAATTTACTAGCAGTGGTGGTTGGCTTTGCTCTGTTCTAATTCCCTCTAGTCCAGTAGATGTAAGGGCTCTGATTGAGTCAAACGTATAATTTGTCAAATTATAGTGAAGCATTGAAAACAAGATGGAACACACAAAGGAAAATCAATGAGATTCCATCAAGATTGCACCAAATCTGTAGCAGTGCTAGAAAATTATTCATCACGCAAGAAACAACAGAAATTTTATTACTCACTCTTTGTTCCCTGTAAATGATGATGAGAAGATAAACTCTCTATTGGCTTCAGATGCAATCCGTGAAGTCTGCACACCACCTACTCCCCTCCCAGCAGCAGATTTCTGGACCTCATCTATCTCACGGCGGAAAGCGACTGTTTTAAGATAGGCCTGTATCTGTAGCTCTGAAAACCTTTCGGGGGCCTAAAAAAAATGGAAAAAAAAATCAAGCATAATCTCCAGAGCAACACTATCTTAACATACAATAAAAATGATAATTAATTTAGAGCAATGCAAACATAGAAGTATTCCTACTGACAGTGAACAGTGTCATCGCAGAGGAAGTGATAGCATAAAGTATTGGAAGAAAAAAGTGATACTACCAAAAAAAAATGTTTTCTCTAGGATATCCATACAAGGGTGTTCAAAACGCACCTTTTTGACCTTTTGATACTTCTGCCTGTTCTCAGCCATCAGTCTCTCTCTCATCTACAAATAGGAGATCAGCAGGTGAAGTAACAACTGGAATTGACTTGCTCGATGTTCATTTCTATAACTTGAACAGAAAACCCACCCGTCCTGGCCATCATGATGAGCAGAAACATAGAGAGAAAGGCACACTTACCTGAACAAGAAGATCGAGTTGCATGGATGGAGGCAAAGCAGCCAAGACAGCAGGATCAATTTTCCCTTGCATCTCTGGCTGCACAACAAAGATGGTGGAAGCAAGTAGTTAAGAGAATTAAAAACTGAGGAAAAAGGAAAATTTAGCCCCTGGTTTAGCTAAAAGCCAATTTTTTAGTAGATTTTGATAAAAGTTGATGAAAATGTGTAGTTGAGAAGTTAATAAAAGTTTTAGGTCCCGTGAATGTGTAGTAGAAAATGAGTTTTGAGGAAAAAATAAGTTTGAGAAAATGGGGTCCAAACAGGGGCTTAGTGTCCTCTACCTACGACTTCCAATAGTGAAATAACTATGTCCTTTGAGACCTGAAGCCTGAACTAATGGACAGTATTTTATGAGGTCTCTTATCAAATCATCAAAAGAAAAAGGAAATCCTTACCAGTATCATTTCTTCGTCTTCATTCTCATCATCCTCTTCATCTGGAATCCCTGTGCCAGATGTTGAAACATCAGCAGTAAAACCATCTTCCTCTGCCGCAAGGGAGGCTGCTAACCTTAATTAACTTGTCACCAGAAGTCAGAATTTTAATCAACACAAAAATAATAAGCAGAAAAAATAATCCAGCGTAGAACTCACATCTCATCCAGTTCTTCTTGTTTGTAACTTTCGGGAACCACATCATGTCCTTCTTTTGTGTTTGGCTCCATCTCTGTCTCGTCCAGGATAGGCTTTTTTCCTTTGATATCATTGTTCTGTCTCTGCTTCTCAAGATCCAAAGCCAGTTCTTTCACCCTCATTGCCTTGATCTATCAACAAAAATTGAATACATAAAAAAATTATACCCCCTACAACATAAACACGGTTGAGAAATGTGTATAATAGGAGTCCTCATTGATTAGATACTATATAACTTTCAAAACCAAGCATTATAATTCAACGAACACTAAAAAAGGAAAACAAATTAAATCAGAAAGAATACAAAAACAGAGACAATGAAAGAATACTGGTATCCAGCTCAACCAAGTAGAGGTCTCCAGTCAAAATTCAGTAAAAGATTACAACTTTAAACTGATGATCGTCCAATTCACCTACATTTCATCAAAAATTCTTTAAACCAAATAAAAGAAGCCAGAAATTTCCACCAGACTCACATGATTGAGAAGCAATTTCTCAGCGGTCTTTCGGATTTTAGCCTGGGCATTCTCGCGCTGGCGGCGGCGTGCAATGATCGTCCGGCGCTTGAGAGCCGGTGTGCCTCCGTCGAAAACGAAGACAGGCTTGGTTCGGAGGAAGAGAAGCTTGCAAATGCGCCTAAAAAATCCCAACAAATGAGCGTTTCGGACCATCTCTCCCTTCTCGTCTCGCATTGCCTTCATAAACTGTATCATCCATATACTAGCATCTAGAATCCCAACAGAAAAACAAGAATATTAAGCGTTAATATTACTGTATGCACTACACGAGTTAGAAGGGTTAGGGTTAGGGTTTTGAGGGACGGATACCGATGGCGACTTTCTTTCCGGCGAGGGTTTCAACAGAGACACGGCGGCCGACCGGAGCAAGCAGTTCCCAGAGGCCGTGAACACCCATTTTCTTTGATTTGCTCTGCTCGGAGCAATCAAGATTCTAATTTTGGTAATTGTTTGATGCAGTCCTACGTTGTTGCCGGCAATATATATTTGGTCTTTTAGATGTCAGTTGGTCTACTTGTTAAGAAATGCGGCGTTGACCGTTACTTGGAGACTATTTGATTTATATTTTGGATAAATTGCATGTATGGTCCTATAGTTTGATTCATTTTACACTTTTAGGCTTTGTTTTTTTCTTGATATTTAATTTGCTCCCTCCCAACAATGTAAATTTTTATTTAAGGGACATACTCATACATGAGGCAAATTTATCTGATTGGTTCTCGGTCCTATTCATTTGTGAAAATTGTGTTAGTGATTGGTCATTGGAGAGACTTTGTGAATTTCTATCTTAGTGATTGGTCATAGGGCAAAAAATGGTGTATCCATTATTGTTGATTATAACGGAGGATTATTCGGAGTTGGACATTGACGCTACGTGAAAAAGAAATTCAAGCGAAAACATTAAGTACATGAAATTTGAAATTCACCAAATTATGAAAAATAAATAAATAAATTCACGGACTTTATTAATTGAAATATGATTTTAAAAAATTAAAAAAAATGAATTAACCATTTATTTATAAGCGTTTACATGAAACCCTAATTAAAATAAACTAAAATTACAAAAAATTCAAAATAAACTACATGACAAAAATAGCACTAAAACTTAAAAAGCAATTTTCGAGTCCTAAATGAACTCGGATGGCCGACATTCATCGTATGTCACAGCATAGCAGTTTGTTCTACTCGTCCCATCGTTCTCTTTTCGAAATAGTATTATGGGTCCAAATCGAAACTTTATTGTCATACCTGCACTTTTGCCAATTGTCCCTTTTTAGTCCAATTCTTTTTCAATCCATTTAGTCATTTGTCCTACTCAGACATGGAAATAGATACATTGTCGAACCGCGTTAAATATTGTGTCGTTTATTTCGCGCATTATTTATTTGATTATCTCCTATTGGGTTGGACAAGAAAGTGAAAGTTGTTTATTCCGTTGCATTGATGTCATATTAGGTAATAGTTTAATTTCCCAACAAAATGAAGTTTAGGCAGTGGCGGAGCTAGACCGATACCCAGTGGGGCACAGTTCAACTATGGATTTTTTTTTTTTTTTGGTCAAACAACACGAAACTTAATAGTATTAAAAATTATAATTCCTTACAATTTATCGACTTCATAAAATTCAAATGTTTAAATTTAAAATTGTCGTATACATATGTTTGGATTTACAATTTAGTTTAAAATAATCTTAATCAAAACCCCGAAGTGGATACTGCAGCAACAACAAAACAAAATATTCCAAAAGAAATCCTTCTTTTTTACATCATTGCCGGTTGTAAATATTCCTAAGGAAGATAATTCCAACGTTGGTTGACATATTTCAGTGTAAAATTCAAGAATCATTCAATTGAGAGTGACACAACAATATATACAACAGCATAAGATTTATCTATGGCCGGCACACTAGCTAATTCTCCAGTGCTTATTGCCTGACTTTGTCAATCCATAGATAATTCCATTACACAAAAAGACAATAACTCATTGTATACTTCGCCAATCGCCCTTTATAACTAACCAGATAATTCCAACATTGGAATTCCCTCCTTGTGTTTGCCAAGAGCCTAGTATGATGCAAATCCCAGTTTGGACATGCCTTGTACCAATTTTTCTTCTCCTAATCAAGGCAAATTCTCAAGAAGAACTAGTTAGGAATGTGTTGGTTGAGTTTATGTCGAAACTTTCTAACAACAATGGTTTCTCTGATCCCAATATGGGCTGGAGTTCGAGCTCTCTCCCGTGCAAGGATAATTGGAGAGGAATCACTTGTGACCAGACGAAAGTAAAGTATATCGTCCTTGATGGCTTTGGCTTCTCGGGATTTTTGGATGCACGCGTTCTCTGTAATGAGCAATCTTTGGCTGAATCTCTACAGATCCTTAGTCTTAAGGATAACAGTATTCATGGTGAAAACTTGGATGAAATTGCAAACTGCAGCCAACTAACTCAGTTGCTTATCGGTGGGAACCAGTTCTCGGGTAGCCTCCCCAACTCAATTTCCCAGTTGAAGAATCTCAAAAGCCTTGATATATCTCGGAACAAATTCTCCGGCCCTTTGCCTGATCTGCCGGAGATATCTGATTTGGAAGCGTTTCTGGCTCAAAACAATCAATTTACAGGTGCAATACCCAATTTTGATTATTCAGAATTGTCCTTGTTCAATGTATCGAACAATAATTTCAGTGGAGAAATTCCTGATAGAGGGATTCATTTTGACATTAGGAGCTACCTCAATAATCCTCAATTATGCGGAGCGCCCGTGTCTAACAAATGTCGGTCATCATTAGCCTCAGAGTCGGAACCTTCAGCACCACCAGACAAACCAAAAGATGGTATTTCAAACGATCAGATTCTGATGTATTCAGGCTATATTCTGATAGGGTTAGCTGTACTTTTCCTCATCCTCATCTGGCTATACAAGCGAGGCAAGAAAAATGATGAGAAACTTGAGGCTGATAACAGAGTAGCCGCAGTTGATGATAGCATCATCAAGCCTAGTTTCTCAACTGTGGAGTTGAAGGCCAGAGAGATAAGTAAATCAGGAATCTCAACTATTTCAGCTGATCAATCCATGGTTTCTTCATCACTTATCGTTCTTACAAGTCCAGAGGTGAATGGACTAAGATTCGAGAATTTGCTCAAGGCTCCGGCTGAGTTGCTTGGGAGAGGAAATCATGGTAGTGTGTACAAAGTGAAGTGTGAAGCTCAGGGGATGACTTTTGCTGTGAAAAGAATTAAAGACTGGACGATATCGAGTCATGATTTTAAGCAGAGAATGCGAAGACTCGACCAAGTGAAGCATCCTAATGTATTGCCTGCTATTGCCTTCTACAGTTCAAGACAGGAAAAGCTTCTGGTCTATGAATATCAACCAAATGGGAGTCTTTTTAGGCTAATCCATGGTATTTCCACTTAAAAATTTCTTATTATTATTATTTTTTTTTCATCTAAAGATAGTTTTATCTCATTTGTTACATATGCAAAACTTACAGGAAACCAGTCTGACCAGGCATTTGATTGGGAAAGCCGAATACTTGTTGCATCCACTATAGCCGATACCTTAGTATTCATGCACGACCAACTATACTACGATGGAATAGCCCACGGGAACCTAAAATCCTCAAATATTTTGCTCAATACGAACATGGATCCATTGATAAGTGAATACGGACTAATGGTAGTCGACAATCAAGACCAGTCTATTGTTGCAAGTGTCAATAGTTTCCAAGCATCTGGAGAAAAATTCAAAGAAGATGTTTATGCATTTGGGGTGATCCTTCTCGAAATGCTTACTGGAAAAATGGCCCTGAACAATGGATTAGACCTCGATAGTTGGGTTCTGGCCGTGGTTCGTGAAGAATGGACCGTTGAAGTATTCGATAGAAACCTGATAGGCCAAGGAGCTAGTGAGGAGATGATGGTTAACCTATTACAGGTTGCTATTAAATGTGTCAATAAATCCCCACAGGCTAGGCCTAGCATGAACCAAGTTGCGCTCATGATTAGGGGGATAAAAGATGATGACGATGATAGATCTACAGACGTTTCTGGATTATCGATTATTACAAGGTGATTAAGAATCAGGAAAAAAATTGGCCCTTTTGTTTGAAGAAGAAAATAATGTACTTGTATGAAACTTGCATATGTGCATTTCTTTTCTTTATTAATGTAGAGTCTAATGACAGTGTACTTTTACTTTTTCTTTTGGTTCACTAATCAAGATTATTCATGATGTTTGCAAGATTCATAATCTCACACAAATTTTTCGCCATTTTTTCAATGTCCAATTTAGAAAAGAGACGTGCGAAATGTTTTATGAATATTATGGTATTCAATTTAATCGCAAAATAAAAATATATATTATATGTTCCTCTTTTTTTATTAATTGAATATATTTTAATTTGCAAAGTGGTGCTTGTAATCCAAATTTTACCTCATTTGCTTTGAATTAAAGATTAAGACAAGTAATGTGTTGTGTGATTTATAAAATCACAGAATGAGGTAAAAATAATATTTTATTACACGGAATGTTACTTTTCATTTCTAATCATGTTAAAAAAAAGAAGTGTCAAAATGTATGTCTTTACTTCAATTGGCACATCTCATGGACGGTTGGTGTTATTTTCCCTATAACTAATAAAATATTTTCCACTTTCCAACTTTTTTTATGTTTGATATAGAAGAAGTTTTCCATGTAAAATGTTTTCTCACTTTGTGTGGCACGTGCACATTTTCTTGGAAATAGATGAAAATCATTTCCCACCTTTTAGGTGGGTTTTGACTTTCCAGGTTCTGCTTTTTTTGGGATAATTGGAAAAAATTCTAGATACATGGTAAAAAATTTTATTACATTTATTGACAATTTTCATTCAAAATAAAGCCAAATGAATGGTATTCGGTATATTATTATTTTTTTATTTTTTTGGCAATTGGAACAAATGTTGATCTAATGGTAAAAAAAATTATCACTTTAATGGATAATTTTCATGAAAAATAAAGTCAAACGGATATCAAACTTTCAACATTTTCCAGGTGGAAAATTATACCAATCAAACACAATTAATTATAATTCTCAATAAAACAATTTTTAGGTAATTCAATTCCCTGGAATTCATTTTCTTTCCACCCATTTTCCATATTTGCAATCAAACGAACCCTTATATTTTTACGAGAAAAGACATTTATGATGACATAATAACTTTAATATTACAAAATAGTGAAATATATTTATAGAATAATTTTCTCAAGTTTTTAGGCTCGAACAATAATAATCCTGTATTTTAATTTAAACTTGTTAATTAAGCATTTAAAACACTAGATACACTCTATATTAAAGAGTTCGTTCTTAAAATTATGCTTCAAGAAACTTTTTTAATTAAAAATAATAAATTTTATTTTTATTAATAAAATTAAGTGTTAAATATAAAAAATATATCGTAGCATTTAAATCTTTTTATTAATTTTCATTAATTTTAACGGACCACATTTTCAGCCCATTTTAGTGGGCCGAGAATGTGGCACATCAAGGCCCAACCTTTCAGGTACTCCACGCGCTTCACGAAACCGTGTGTTTACAGCAAAAGTAAATTTCTCTCTTTTTCTTTTGTTTTTTCTGTTTATTTCTTGGAGGAAGTAGAAAATAGAAAGTGCTGTCTTCAATCTTTTTAGCATACTTTACCTTCAATTTAGAAACTAGTGACCCGTTCCACATATATATGTATATACCATGCGAGTAATCGATGTTATTGCAAGTATATTTCTGTATTCTCAGTCAAATAAAAGGTTCTAAGATTCCAGCCAAAAGCTGTGTTTTTTAGGGTTTTCTGCTACTGCAAGAAGGGGTCCATGTTATGAATACATTAATGAAGGATCAAGGTAGGTAAAGACTCAATCTTTAAAGTTTCCTATGTCCTCATCTACTCATATTATTGAACAATCAGTCACTTGGGGTTTTTCTATTTTTCTGACCGGAAGGAATAAAAATTGTTAGTTTATCATGTCCAAGCAACCTTGTGATGTAAAGTAATTTTTTGTTTCTGAATTCTTAAGATTGTATGTTTAATGAAAGAAATGGAAGAACGGAGATTGTTTTCTGGGCATGCCCATATGAAAATGTCATGGATTCAGGATAAGATGAATAAGAAAGATGGTGTAATGACATACCCACCTCCTATTTCTCCTTACGGTGTTAATAGTAATTTCCATAAAGATTCAAGCCCATCTTCATCTGGTACAAGGATTAGTCCAGCTGTTTTGTTCATTATAGTTATTTTAGCTGTTTTGTTCTTCATATCTGGGGTTCTGCACTTGCTTGTTAGATTTCTTACCAAAAACCGGTCGTCCTCTCAATCTAATAGAAATTTGGAAGTTTCTAGCTCTGATGCACTTGAAAGACAACTGCAACAGCTCTTCCATTTACACGATTCGGGTCTAGATCAAGCGTTTATCGATGCATTACCGGTGTTTATGTATAAGGAGATAGTTGGTAGTACCAAAGAGCCCTTTGATTGCGCTGTCTGTTTGTGTGAATTTGCTGAGAAGGACCAACTGAGATTGCTTCCAATGTGTAGCCATGCTTTTCATATCAACTGTATCGACACTTGGCTACTGTCGAACTCGACTTGTCCTCTCTGTAGGGATACGCTTTTCAATCCCCAGTTCTCAACAGAAAACCCAATTTTCGATTACCGGGATTTTAGGGAAGAAAATGGATTTCCCGGTAATGGAGAGAACGGATTTTCAACTGGGCTGAAGACGGTGCAAACTCAAGAAGTTGCAGTAGAAAAGGGTGTTTTTCCTGTAAGACTTGGTAAATTCAGAAAATTGAATAATGAGCACGTGCAGGAGGAGATAGGAGAGACTAGTAGTAGTAAATTGGATGCTCGAAGGTGTTATTCAATGGGTTCTTATCAATATGTGGTTGGTGATGCTAATCTAAGGGTAGCAGCCTTGAGCCATGATCGAACTGGTCGGAATTTGAAGCTTGTTAGGGGCACAGAACGAGCTAGTAACCTTTCACCTAATGGAAGGGAAGAAGACGGGAAGAAGATTAGTATTGGGACAAAAACTGATAGCTATTCAGTTTCCAAAATATGGCTATGGTCAAAGAAGGGTAAATTTGCTAGTTCTTCCGATGCACAAACTGACAACCCCTCTTCTCTTAATCTGGACTTACCATGGATGCATAGAACAGAAGGCCTCTGAGAGGTATCCCCCTTTTGCTTTAATTTTTTTTGATTAATTGCTAATTTGTAAATTACAGTATTGGCTTTCTTTTATTCTGAAACTTTATGTACACTGATAGTAATGGAGATTTGAATATTCCAGCTTTGCAAGTTAATAATTTATTGTTCTTTTCGATACGATTCATCTTGGAGTACAGGCTTTTGATTTTTGATCTTAGAATAATTTGATAACATATTGACATGACTAAATTATCTTGTTTAGCACATCCCTTCATTTGCGGCCACCTAATTACTCAGACAATATTTCAAAATCAGACCAAGAACTTGGATATTATGTTCTATGTTCAACTTTCAGCTGAACAGGTTGAACGGTCTCAATTTTCTGGTATGTAAAATCAAAATTTGAGATTTGAATAGTGGTACCTAATATGGGATTAGATTTGTCTTTTCATCAAAGCAGAGGGCAATTATCTTTTCTTTTGCCTTGTTTTGGTTGCCTATTCTGTTTGCTTTTCTTGTCTTTCTCATTGTTGCTTTCATTTCTGTTTGTAAACCTTTTTGAATAGTGTGAAAACACTTTTTTTTGTGCAACGAGTTCTTTCTTTTAGGTTGGGACCAAATGGTGGGATCCATGATACTTTTTTCTATAGCTTTGGCTGTGGACCATGGTGTTCTTCCCATATGCCCCCTTTTTCGTAAAGAAAGAAACATGTATGCTTTTTCTTTCTCGACTATGGCTTTTATGAACTGAGTAATCGACCCCGTCTCCAACATGATCTTGATCGTTATAAGACGATCCCGGGTTCAGTTGGATGTAAATGTAATATATACTACTTTACTCCAAGTTCACCAACTCCACTAAGCAAGTATATAATCCAAAAGATTGAGATCAATCATTTGTAAGATAGTTGCTCTTGGCCAATTTGATGTAAACAAATACAGCACACGTTCATATGGTGGGGCCAAGAAGAACCCGGTTCTGCAATCACCTCACAGCCCTACTGACAGCTGAACCACCTCATGAGATAATGAACCACTGGTACATTTGTCTCTTTCATGCCCCTTAGAATTCATCGTGGTGGCGCGTGACCAGATAATTTTGACAAGATAAAGTTACTTTGTCGGAAGAATTTGACAAAGGACAATGGTGGGTGTACTGAATTTGCTTTACAGATTTTTGATAGATACACATTTGACGGTTTTTCATTTGCTCATAACAAAAAACACACAAAAAAAAAAAAAAAAGATTGAATCAGATGCTTTGTAAGAATTTCTTCTGTACATATGGTTTTGGCCTTTGACAAAAAGCTTGACATAATTGCGTGTAGCAATAGATGATTATATGGAAAAGTTAACTGTGTTTTAAATTATCTAATGATATAATGTCACGTAGTATTATGTCAAGTTTTATGTCATCTTTGATGATTATGTAGCATGATTGATCTTGACATATATGGATGGTTAAGTTAACCGTTGGTTGGATTTGGGTTGGATCTAGAATTATGACCTGTTTACTGTACATCAGTATCCTACATTCTACTCGATTGTGGATAAAATATACCTAGACCTTTTTAGTTGTCGTGCAGTGGTCAATCTTGACTCGAGAGGGGATCTGGGATTTTTTAAAGTCATGAAAAATTATACTTGGGAGTCTTTAATCTTCATAAAATTGAGCATTGAGGTTCTATATTTAAAGCGGAGCACCTCAGTGTCCAAGCTTTCACATTTGTTCAATTTTAGTTTCAATTGATGGCAATTGTCAATAAAAAGATCAACAAATTTTGTTAGAAAGACAACTGTTAACTCCACTCTTAACTTACTTCGTCTCTTCGTGAGCGACACATGACCCCATTTATTTACAAGATTGATGTTATATAAAGGATAAGAATTTGATGTTGTAGGTCTTAAAAAACTCTTTTTATACCCGATTTATTTTGATATCAGCCATTCAAATCCAAATTAAAACAGAATTTTGCATAACACTCTAGAATTGTTTTCAGAGTACAATCATTTTCTCAACATGTAACTTTCCATGTATTTTGTAAAACAAACTGAACAAAAAATTTTGGGCCATCTCACATGGAAATGTGTCAAAAAACAAATTGAATTGAAATCATAATTCCATCATTAAAAAAAAAGAAAAGGTTTTGCTGAATGTACACTCTGGTTGAGGTTGACATTGTGTGAGGTTGCCAACATTTTTTTCCTTGATTTTAACAATGTTTAGAATAATCAATAGCACATATTTTGACAATACATGCAATGTCAACAAACATGTCGCCAAGAAATGTAAAAATAGCATGACTCAAAAACAAAAATACTTGTTGCACATCATTCAGCATACCACCACAAAAAAAAAAAAAAAAAAAAAAAAAAAACAATTTTCACCTTAGATGAATAAAGAATCCAATGGGATAAAATTTAAACAAAAAAATGAAATAATGTGAAATAGGAGACATGACTTCGAAAAGTCATACAATCTGATCATTCACAGCATGTTCCCTGGCGGAGTTCGCTGCCAAGGCACTAAACGCCTCAACCACGCGCCACCGCCAATTTTCACCTGCTGCCTTTACGGCGTTTACGTGAATGACGGAGCATCCTTGCCCAAGTCCATCGACCCTTTACTCGATAACGGTATTGCCGCATACCTTGATGAAAAATCCCTGAATACCTTGTCGTCATCGTGCAATTGACCGTTTTGCCCTGGCCCGCCGTCGTCGAAGTTCAAGGCGTAACTCAAGGGATCATACTGGAATTTCCTGGTCTTGCACCGGCCGGTCTTGTTGAACCGGCGGATGAATGTCTTCCATTTCGGACCAGCCACAATCTCCGACCATTCTCTCACTTTCTTCAACGCGTTTATTCCCTTATTCCACCAACCTCTGCCTGCAGTATTCTGCTGTCCCTCCGATGTCGAAATTCGCTCCCAATTATCGGATTCCCGGGACCCGAAACTCCAAAAGCAACAGCAGCCGCGGCTGGAGAATGCTCGTTCCTGTAAATCATCGTTTAAGTCCGTTTCTTTGTGGGAGAATTCTGGGGTGGTTTGCATTTGTGAGGAAATGTTTGGTTTAGAGAAAGAAAAGGGAGAGAGAATCAGACCGTGGGTCTTCTCTAAAACCTAAGCGTGGCCCTCTCCTCTTTCTTTCTCTGTTGTCTCTGCGTATATACAGGGAAGAAGAAGAAGAAGAAGGTAATATTGCAACGGACATATCGGGTGGACGTTGAAGAAGAGAAACCGACAGGTGGCGGTTACAAAGACTGGGTTTAAGGGTGGAAGCCATTAAATGGGTCATTGAGGGAAAATGGATTAATCTAGTTGTACATAACCCTCTACATAATGGTTCACATAATGGGGACGTGGCAATCATCCACTTATTGATGTGTAAGTGTGAAAGTTGAATTAAAGGCAGGATCACATGACACGTGTAATTATGTGAACCATTATGTGAATGGTTATGTACATGTAGCATTATCCATTTATTTTTTACAATCATTGTTAATTAAGAATAAAATAGAAAGTCTTTTNTGTGTTAGGTGTGGACACGTGGAAAATTATGAGTGGAGAATTTGTATAGCGCAGCAATTAGTGGTGGAGTGAATGATCGTCGCCTATAGTCGCAGGTGATTGTAATTTCTATTATTAAGGTTTCAACTGTCAACGTGACGTTAAAGGCACGACTCGACTCGGGAAAGTTCGCAGTCGCATATAAGATGAGCTAACTCATTTTCAAAAATTTCAGCTTGACTCCCTCCACCAAGAGACGAGTTGGAGGGTGAGGTGAGTCGGTTTTGAGCCGCTTGCAATTTGTCATTTCATTTTTAATTGAAAATTGCAATTTCATTACTGCTTACGAGCCAGCTCGATTGGTTTGCAAGTCAAACAGCTCTCACGATGTTCTAGTAGTTGGGCTCGTGTCTACTTAACACCCCTAACCTCCAAATCTTTACATAAACATCCTGAAACCTCTACATAATGGACGAAATTGGTCCTTCTTGAATGATTTTCATTTTCATTTTCATTGACCGTTACAAATGTCAAACTTTTTATAGAAAGACTGCAATATGTTTACTTTTTTTGAATAAAAAATAATAATAACAAGTGGAAAAGAAAACTTTAAAATTATGACAACATATAAGACAACTCATCCTACCAACCAATCTCTCATAAGAGTGTCTCCATTGTTGTAGCCGTTGATTACTTAAAAATTGTGTCATATAAACAAAATTAGAAGGTATTTTAAACAATACCTCTATTGCAATGTGATAGTGACTTCGTAAAATTGATGTGGCAGAGAAAAAAATATCGAAGGACTTTCACTTTACATGATATTGATGACTAATAAATAGACACTCAAACTTAATTTCCATTACACTTTATGGATTATTGTCTTGGTTTCTTTTATATTCTTATTAAAATGAAAATAAAATCACATACGTATTTTACTTGGTTATCATATACTATTAAGTCTAAAGAAGCTTTTGAATCTAATATCATTTCTTCTACGTCACTTAGTATTGATGGAGTCTTAGCATTGGAGAGGGATTTTTCAATAAAAGCATTGTATTTACTTATGTTGTGAAGTTGTAAAGTATAACTACTGTTGGTCCTAATTATTGTCATTAAGAACTATTTAGGAATTTGTGATATTGTAAAATTTATTAAGGAATTGGATAAAGATGTAGAAAAAGAAATTAATATTGCACCAAAATCTTCTTTATCTTCCAATCAATACTTCAAACCTTGAATTTATTGATTTTTTTTCTCCTTTAATTTGCACTTTTCAATCTCCAATTGTGTTCATTATCTCTCAATGTGTGGAACTCTCTCAAAAGTGTCGAAATTTTGTATTTATACTCCCCATCACGTTTGTGTCGAATCCCGAGTTTTTATAGGCTTCAAAATGGGCAAAAAAGGCTCATTGGATACATTCGGGCAACGCCTCAGCGCCATAGGAGCAAGGCCACAGCTATGTATTGTGGAATTTGGTGGCACCTCAGCGCAACGCCACCTTTCGAGTGAAAATCTGCACTATACTTCTTTTAGTATTTTTATCATAATTTTTTCTCCCGATATTCAATTGAAGCAGTTTAATTAAATTGTAAAGATAAATCAAAGGTTATAACTTTACTTGAAATAATTTTTTTCCAATTCAAACATTTATTATGTTAAAATGGGTTTCAATCTTAAGCTAAAAATCTGGAACATATTTGTGCAGTTGAAAATTGATTTGTGTCTATATTTTGATTATATTTGACTCTTTTTTAACTTCTAATTGCATCCAATTGACTCATAACATTCTTAAATCTTCATCGTGAGGTTCGACACAACTTTCGAGTATTTATACTTTAGTCCCCAAACTTCGGACATTGTCATTTTTCGTCAATTTTCACTTCTTTCTTTCAATTTGACTTCTTTTCATCGAGTTTTACCTAATAAACGAAATATACAATAAATTAAGCTATAATTGTTTAAATGAACTACTAAATGTCTATATTTTTAAGTTCAAATAAGTGTATAAAATACACTTATCAATATCAAAAGTTTGACCATTTTAATAGTCGATTGGCTGAAAACCGTCCAAAAGGACCAATTGCACCCATTAAGTGAAATGTTAGAAATGTTTGAGCAAAGATTTATGGGTTAGGGACCTTTTTCCGCATCAACCCCATGGGAGAAAAACCATTTGCAACAATTTTTCCAAGTTTAAATACACATTTTTTTCTCTATTTGAGCCCCAATTGGGGTGGGGTGGGGGATAGAATTTGGAATGGTGATTTTTTTAGAAAATATGTGGCTAAAAAAATAAGAAATGTTTTTGAATTTAAGTGTAAAAATGAGTTTTGGAAAAAATGGAACTCAAACATAGGCTAAAATCTTTTCCCTACAAAATTTAAAAGGGAAGAATACATAAATCAGCCTTTTTCTTTTACACATTTCAAAACTACCAAAACATGTTTTAAATTTCAAAAATCGGGTTTCTTTATAATTTTAATTATGAAATAATAATTATTAAATTCATTTATTATTAATATTTAATTCTATTATAAAATAATTAACCTATCCCCACCCC